AGCGGGGGCCTTCCGGTCCCTCCGCTGCATGGCGGTGCTCGGGGAGAACCGAGGCCGAGGCCGAGGCCGCGCGAGCTTGAGCCTGGAAGCGGCGCAGGTGCAGGGGGCACCGCGGGAATGCTCCTGCTGTGGGGGTCACCTGCGCTCGGCCGAGAGACGAGAGACGAGGCCGGCGGGGTTGAGCTGCGTCTGGGGCAGCAGGAGGTCAGGGCTACGGTGTCCGGCCCAGGCCCAGCCCGTTCCGAACAACGTTTTGCTCCGTAGGAAGCATTTATAAATAAGCGTGAATAAGAGGAGCCAGATCTGTCGTCAGCCCTCCGGGATAGTGTGACCCTGTGACTGCCTTACGCTGTTGGAAGAGCAAGCACGGTGTTTACTGAGGTTTGGCTTCGAGCACTGATTGGTGTGACCCCGGAGAACCTTCGGGCAGTGTTTTGCAACTCTGAGAGTGCAGTAATTCCTCCTGTGGAGTTGGTCCTAGTCGGTGTGCAAACAATTGTTTAAAAAGAAGAAAAATGGAACCAGCAGTTGGCATAATGGCTATGTCACTGGACTCCCATGTAGTTGACCATGGTTCCAGTCCCAGACCCAGTGGCTTAAACTCATGATCCCAAGATCCCGAGAGAAGAATGGATTGCCACATGTCCATCCCCCTGTGGGGTGATTTCTTGCTTTCTGTCTGTCTGTCTCTGTCTTTCTGGCAAGCACACATGCCTTATAGCAAAAACCTCTCCAAAAAAAAAAAAAAAAAAAGAGCTAGATTTGGAAGACAGCTAAGAAACCTAAGAATTTTAGGACTTTTTCTGAATGATCTAATACGTGTGTATCTATTTTTATGATTAAGAAAGAATACTGGGAAATTTGGAAATGATTTCCTTTAAAGAATGATTTTATTTATTCTTTATCCCTGGACGCCCCAGCCGCACGGCCACGCACCAGTGAGAGAGAGAGAGAGAGAGAGAAGGTAGGTGAGAAAGCAAGCCACCAGGTCCAGGACTGGGCTCTTGGTCAGCCATGTGGGAGTCCAGTGCCTAGCCACCACACTGGAAATGATTGGAAAGTGGACTTCAGAGGCGGGTTGACTGCAGTCGCCTTTAGGCCTCCTTTCAGGAACACAACTCTCAGGTTGTATTTTATTGTAAATAGTAACTGTCCATGTGACGGCTCAAGGTGTTTGTGAAAAAGAGGATAGAGGGCCAGCTAGCGACGCGGGAAGGCCTGCACGTGCTCACTGAGCATCTCGGGTTCCAGACCTCGCAGCTCGAAAGACCCCCTGGGCTGTGCGCGTCCTCACGGCCCCGAAGGGATTGCAGCATGACCGGTCCCCATGGGGAGCATGCTCTCGCTCTTGCAGCAAGCACACGTGCCCTCTGGCAAATTTTTAAAAATAAATAAAACAGAGGGAGTAATAATTGGATAAATACATTTGGTGTGATAGCAGGCACTGTACAATCCAAGTGCACATCATTATTCGATAATAAGCTTTTGAAAGATGTATTATTCAAAAAAAGATGTATCAGTCTAAGGTGAAATTTGAACCAGACGCAGAGTCCCTGGGGAGCCGCAGTGGGACACTGGCACACGCCGTGCCTGGACCGGCACTGCCCCGCAGACACGGAGCCCGCCACAGACGTGAGCCACATGTGTTTTTCAAGCCGCCACGTCTGGGACTCGAACTACTTAGTCGGATATGTGGGATTCAGCTCATAACTATCAGGCCATGGAGCTGGCCCAAGATACAATATTTTTTTTTTGAGTTATTTTATTTAACTTTATTTATTTATTTTAATTTGGCCTGATAGGAACAGAGCAAGAGAGAGAGAGAAAGTGAGAAAGCAAGCCTCCAGGCCTAGGACTTGAACCATGGTCAGCTATCTGGGAGTCCAGTGCCTTTAACCACCCCGCCACTTGCTGGCCCCCAAGATGCCATCCTAACATGTAAACAAGTGGTCCTCAGCTGGGGGGTAATTTTGCTCCTCAAGGAACATTTGGCAGTGTCCAGAGACGTCCCACTGGCCAGGCCTGGGAGGAGGGCAGGGAGGCTGATATTCCACAGGGCACAGACCCCTCCCCTGCCGCAGAGATCCAGGCCAGGCAGCCTTAGTGCAGAGATTGACAAACCTGGACCTCAGCCATTCTCTTAATCATTTATTTCATCCTGGGTCGAAACTAGATAAATATTTACGCTTGGTCTTATATATGTGTGTGTGTTTTTTTTTTTTTTTTTTGAGAGGTTTTTGCTATAGGGTGCGTGCGCTCACCAGAGAGACAGAGGGACAGAAAGCGAGAAATCACCCCCCAGGGGGGATGGCCACGCCGCAATCCCTTCTCCTCCATTCTCCTCTCGGGATCTTGGGCACGCACGCACACGCACCCTGCATGAGTCTAAGCCACCAGGTCCAGGACTTGAACCGTGGTCGACTACATGGGAGTCCAGTCACCTAGCCATTACGCTCACTGCTGGCCCCGTGTTTTTCACTGAACTTGGAGCTGTTTTAATCATGGGACTTCTACATGGAACAGAATTCAGTCTTTCTCTAAATCTCTGGATAACAGATTTTTTTTTTTTCCCTTTGAGAGATTTTTTTTCTAGAGGGCGTGTGCACTCAACAGAGACAGAAAGTGAGAAATGACCCCCCAGAAGGGATGGCCATGCCACGTCCTTTCTCCTCCATTCTCCTCTTGGGATCTTGGGCACACATGCACGTGCACCTGGCATGAGTTTTAAGTCGCTGGGTCTGGGACTAGAACCACGGTCAACTATGTGGGAGTCCAGCAAAATAACCCTTATGCCATCTGCTGGTCACAACAACTCTTTATACATATATTTTTAACATTTCTTATTTATTTTATAATTTTTCAAAGAATTATTAATTTAATTTTATTTATTCATTTACTTATTTTAATTTGACCAGAGAGAGACACACACAGCGAAAGAGAGGGAAAGTGAGAAAGCAAACCGCCAGGTCTGGGACTCAAACCATGGTCAGCCACATGGGCGTGTCTAGCACCTTAACCACCATGCTACCTGTTGGTCCCTATTTTATAATTTTTAACACTTGCCTTTGTGGGGTTAATACAGGTTTTCAAAGCATGCATGTAGTGTACAATAATCAAAACAAGGATATTACCATATTAATCATTTTCAATAAAGAACATTACATTATGTTTTGCACCTTTGATTTTGTTTCTAGTGTTTTTTTGTTTTTGTTTTTGTTTTTTTAGTTAACAATGGTTTATATTTGGTGCCAGCGGGTGGCATAGTGGTTAAGGCGCTGGACTCCCACATGGCCACACACAGTTCTAGTCACGAACCCAGTGGCTTGAAATTAGCACAGGCTTGTGTATGTGTGCCCAGACCCTCCGAGGAGAATGCAGGAGGGAGTACCGTGTGGTGATGCCCCTGGGGGGCGACTTCTCAATTTCCCTCTTTCTGGGGGAACACACCCAGGCACACACACCCTATGGCAAAAACCTAAAAACATTTTAAAATTCTTAAAAATGAGGGGCCGGCAGTTGGTGTGATGGTTAAATGCGCGGGACTTCACATGGCCTACCGTGGTTCGAGTCCCGGACCTGGTGACTTGCTTTCTCACTTTCTCTCTCTGTTCCTCTCTGGTCGAATTAAAATAAATAAATAAATACAGTTAAATAAAGTAATTTTTAAAAAATGATAAGGAAACAGTCTCCTTCACCTCCATTCTTCTCTCAGGACTTCAGGCAGGCATGCGTACAAGTACCTGGCGTGTTTTGCAGGCTGCCAGGTCCAGGACTCAAACTGTGCAGTCAGCCCTGTGGGATCCGGTCGCCTTAGCCGCCATGCCACTGAGCAACCCACAAATGTTCATTTCTAAATGCAGGATTTTAATGCCAGTTCTCAAAACTGACTGGTGTGAGTTCTTCCTGTACTGCCTTTGCCAAGGTGAGAGAGGATGGCGGGCAGGTGGCACCCACAGTGCAGACTTGCAGCCCGTCGGCCACTCCCGCGGGCCGTCAGGACCGACTGCACGTCGGACAGACCGCTTCCCAAAACAAAGCTCATGTTCTGGGTTGTCTGAGCTCTGCCCTCTGGCAGACGGTGACTCAAGCCGGCGACAGGTGAGCACTTAAGACTGCTTGGTGGCAGCCCAGAGGCGCTGTTTCCGGGCAGAGGTTCTGACCCACGTGGACCTGGTCCGTGACGGGCCTTCCGTTCCTCCAGAGCCACCCGATGGCAAAGGCACTTCCCATCCAGTCCGGGCACAGCGCACATCGGTGCCCATGACGGGGAGAGCACGGCTTTATTTCAGGTCTGTCTGCTTTTAGCTTTTTACCATACGGCGTGCTTGCTCACTGGAGAGACACGGATACAGAGAGAGAGGAGAGTGAGAGATTGCCCCAGGAGGGATGAGGTGGTCATGCTGCAATCTCTTCTCCTCTTGGCATCTTGGGCATGTGCACATGTGCACTGGCATGATTTTCAAACCCCCAGGCCCAAGACTCAAGCTGCCGTCAGCCATGCGGGAGTTAGCGCCTTAACCACCGCCACCGCCGGGCCCCACGGCCTGTACTGTTTAAGACCTCGTTGTATTGGTGTTTATGAACACCCACAAAACCTCTTCAAAACACTGATACAGAAAAAACAACAGTCAGAATGAGCATCCGCTCCTGCTGTGGCGAGGGTGTGGGGCCGGCTCACGCCTGGGAGTGAGAGCTGGGCCCTATGTGGCAGGCCACGCCTTTAGAACCCTGGACACAGCACCCTGAAACACACTGGGCAGACCCCCCACACAGGGGTGCTTCCTTACTGTCTCTGCATCTCTCTAGTAAGCACACATGCCCTCTAGCACATTTTAAAAAAAGATTTACTTAATTTTATTTATTGTTATTCTTCAATTTGACCAGAGAGAGAGAGAGAGAGAGCCAGCCGCCAGGGCCGAGATTCGACCCACGGTCAATCAACCATGTGGGAGTCCAGCTTCCCAACCTCCACGCCACCTGCTGGCCCCCGGTCAATCAACCATGTGGGAGTCCAGCTTCCCAACCTCCACGCCACCTGCTGGCCCCCGGTCAATCAACCATGTGGGAGTCCAGCTTCCCAACCTCCACGCCACCTGCTGGCCCCCGGTCAATCAACCATGTGGGAGTCCAGCTTCCCAACCTCCACGCCACCTGCTGGCCCCCGGTCAATCAACCATGTGGGAGTCCAGCTTCCCAACCTCCACGCCACCTGCTGGCCCCCGGTCAATCAACCATGTGGGAGTCCAGCTTCCCAACCTCCACGCCACCTGCTGGCCCCCGGTCAATCAACCATGTGGGAGTCCAGCTTCCCAACCTCCACGCCACCTGCTGGCCCCCGGTCAATCAACCATGTGGGAGTCCAGCTTCCCAACCTCCACGCCACCTGCTGGCCCCCGGTCAATCAACCATGTGGGAGTCCAGCTTCCCAACCTCCACGCCACCTGCTGGCCCCCGGTCAATCAACCATGTGGGAGTCCAGCTTCCCAACCTCCACGCCACCTGCTGGCCCCCGGTCAATCAACCATGTGGGAGTCCAGCTTCCCAACCTCCACGCCACCTGCTGGCCCCCGGTCAATCAACCATGTGGGAGTCCAGCTTCCCAACCTCCACGCCACCTGCTGGCCCCCGGTCAATCAACCATGTGGGAGTCCAGCTTCCCAACCTCCACGCCACCTGCTGGCCCCCGGTCAATCAACCATGTGGGAGTCCAGCTTCCCAACCTCCACGCCACCTGCTGGCCCCCGGTCAATCAACCATGTGGGAGTCCAGCTTCCCAACCTCCACGCCACCTGCTGGCCCCCGGTCAATCAACCATGTGGGAGTCCAGCTTCCCAACCTCCACGCCACCTGCTGGCCCCCGGTCAATCAACCATGTGGGAGTCCAGCTTCCCAACCTCCACGCCACCTGCTGGCCCCCGGTCAATCAACCATGTGGGAGTCCAGCTTCCCAACCTCCACGCCACCTGCTGGCCCCCGCTCTAGCACATTTTAAAAATCACAGTCTATACGGAAACTAGGAAGCATCCGAATCAAACCTGTGATGGGTAACGGATCGCAGGGGCCATTTGTGGCACCAGTTCCACGGGGACGTGAGGGGACACCAGGCGCTGCAGAGCCCAGCCGAGCGTGTGAGCCCTGGCGAGGGGGGCGGGACCCAGCCGCCATGCGGCTCCTCTCGGGCAGGCGAGACAGGACTGCACGGGCTCCTTTCCGTGGAGACTGGCGCCCTCTCCGGATCCGAGCCGGCGCTCTGGGGAGGTGCGTTTCAATCCAATGATCGTCTCGATGTGCCGTTCCTGACCCCGCGGGGTGACTGTTCTCACGTTTAGGTGACCGCTGTCTCTGCCCTTCCTGACAAAGTGATCTGTGAAATGAAAGTGGAGAAAGAGCACACCAACAAAGCCGGCACCCTGCACGGCGGCCTCACGGCCACGCTGGTGGACGTCATCTCGACCGTGGCTCTGATGTGTTCGGAAAGGGGGGCCCCCGGAGTGAGCGTCGATATGAACATAACGTAGGTACCCCGCGCCCCAACGCCTCTTAGAAATGGGTTAACTCAGGGCTGGCAGGTGGCGTGGTAACTGGGCACGGACCCCTCATGGTTGACTCCGCGGTGCCAGCCCTGGCCCCGGGGACTTGAAAACACTGGGCACCTGTGCGTGCGTGCCCAAGATCCCGAAAAGAGAAAGGAGGAGAAGGGATTGTGGCATGGTCATCCCCCCTAGGGAGTGGTTTCTCACTGTCTCTCTGTCTCTGTCTCTTTCTCTCTCTGTAGTGGGTGCACATGCTCTATGGCAAAAGTCTTTAACAATAAGTACAAAAGAAGAACCAACTCGTTTTTTTGTGTGTTTTTGAGGTTTTTGCTATAGGGTGCGTGCACTTGCCAGAAAGACAGAGACAGAAAGCGAGAAATCACTCCCAGGGGGGATGGCCATGCAGCAATCCCTTCTCCTCCATTCTCCTCTCGGGATCTTGGGCATGCAAGCACATGTGCCTGCTGTGAGTTTAAGCCACCAGGTCCAGGACTTGAACCGTGGTGGACTACATCGGAGTCCAGTGACAGCCATTACGCTAACTGCTGGTCCCACAACTCGTTTTTTTGAGAGAGCAATTTTTGCTATTGGGTGTGTGCACTCACTGGAGAAAGACAGAGACAGAGAGGCAGAAAGCAAGAAATCACCTCGCAGGGGGACAGCCACACTGCAATCCTTTCCCTGGTCTCCTCTGGGTTTGGGGGCATGCACACACATGTGCCCGGCGTTTTGGCCCTTGCTTTATAAAAAGCAGAAACAAAAATAAACTATAAGGGGTCCAGCAGGTGGCATGATGATTAAGGCATTTGACTCCCACAGGATTGACCACAGTTCAAGTCCCAGACCTGGTGGTTTGAAAATCACGCCAGGCGCATGTGCATACGTGCCCGAGATCCCAGAAGGTGAATAACGGAGGTGGGGTTGCAGTGTGGCCATCCCCCGGGGACTGATCTCTCACTTTCCCTCTCAGTGTCTCTGTCTCTCTCCAGCAGGTGCATGTGCCCAATGGCAAGAACCTAAAATAAATAAATGCACAAATAAACTGCCAAGAACTTATTTCTCTTAAAAACATTATTTAAAAAAATATTTTTTAGATTTGTCATAGGGCACGTGTACTCACCAGAGACAAGACACTGAGAAGGACATCACCCCCTGGAGGGGCATGGCCACACCACAATCCCTACCCCTCCAAGCTCCTCTCGGGATTTGGGGTGCACACTCACATGAACTCAGAGTCAGCCATGTGGGACCCAGCACCCTAACCACCTCATCACCTGCTGGCCCAATACCGTTTTAAACAAACCGTGTCCATCAGTTTACTTTTTAAAACTAGCTCGTCAGCTGAGTTAGAGTTTACGATCAGTGTTAGGAAGTGTCTGAAAATACACGTACGCAGCTCATCCCCAGGACGGTAAGGACTTGCACTCATTCCCTTATAGCTCTTACATTACGTGGAGTTACGTAGACAAATTATATGACAAGGCAGAGCCTCAGTGATAATGACTTAGGAAATTAAGTAGATTACATAAGCATTGGAGGAGAACTGTCACCAGCTCCAAGCATGAAATGAAAAAGTAACGGGTCAGAAAGGTGCACGAAAGGCCCTACCCACATTTATGGGAACAGAGACTGGTGTCATGGGCACAAGCGAGAACACGCGGGCCAGGCCCAGCCACTCGGGGCTGAGGGCACGGGAAGCCCGGCAGTGCTGTCCTCAGGCCGCCTGCAGTATCCAGCCGGTCACAGGCAGGCCACCGTGAGGTCACGTGGTGTCCCGAGAAATGACCTGCCATTAACTGTGTTTAAATTCGTTTTCTTTCCAGGTACCTGTCCCCAGCTAAACTCGGAGACGACATTCTGATTACAGCACACATTCTGAGACAGGGGAGGACACTGGCCTTTGCCTCTGTGGACCTGACCAACAAGGCCACGGGCAAACTGATAGCACAGGGCAGGCACACGAAGCACCTGGGACACTGACGGCCGCGTGGCCGAGGCCCACGGCGAGCATGGCGTCGGGCTCCAGTGGATTTTCACAATAAATGCGCATGGCCCGAGTAGTGGAGGACGTTGTCTTTGGGAAGGACCTCAAGGCCAGTGGGGAACAGTGAAGGTGGGGCGTGTGTTTTCATTCTAAGCGTCTTCAGTTTTATTTATCTTTTTAAGATTTTCTATAGGGCATGTGTACTTGCCAGAGAGACTGACAGAAAGCTAGAATCACCCTCCGGGAGTAGATGGTCCTGCTGCAGTCCCTTCTCCATTCTCCTCTCGGGATCTTGGGCACACGCACACATACGCCCAACGTGAGTTTTAAGCTGCCGGGTCCGGGACTCAAACCGCGGTTGGCCATGCGGGAGTCCAACAACGTAACCATTAGGTTATCTGCTGGTCCTCAGTTTTATTTTTTGATCATGTGTATAATTGGGTGAAAAAATTCTTAGATCAGTATTATGAAAACTTTGGTACAGAAAAAAAAGAAAAACCAGATGCATTCCGACAAGACTTTTAAGACTGAATGCACTAGTAAGTTAAAGGAGATGCGTAAGTTAGTGTTCTCAGTTTGGGCCGCAGTAAGCCGACCACCTTCTGGGTGGCGAAACGTGCTCACAGTCCTGGAGGCTGGGAAGTCCACGGTCCCTGTCTGGTGGGGGCCCCACTGGTCGGCAGGTGGGGCGTCTGCAGCCCTCACCCGCAGCAGGGCGGGAGCCCTCGTCCTCTCACACCCCAAGGCTCCACCCCTTCGTGTCAACAGCCTTCTAGTTCATTCCGCTGTTAGGACAGAAAACCCATCTGTGAAATGGAGACCAGATGGCGGTGCAGCAGGAGACGCGACACTCCGAGGCAGCCCACGGGGAAGGCCCCGAGCACCCTAGGCATGGGCACGCACATGGCGAGATCTCGGCTGAGGCCAGGGTGGCTCATGGCACTGGGATCCTGCTGGCAGTGCTGTCTCCGCTCATGAGATGGACGTCACGACACTCCGCTCATGGTGGGAAAGCTGTGGCCACACCTATTGAGGTCTCTGGCCGCAGCCTAGACCCGTCACTGGGGCAGAGGGCAGGGGCACATGTGTGGATGTCTTTTTTTTTTTTTTTAAAGATTTTTAAAATTTATTATGATTATTTTTCAATGTGTTGTAGGGTATGTGTACTCACCAGAGAAGGCAAGCTGCCAGGTTCAGGACTCAAACTACAGTCAGCCACCCACTGGCCCTGCCCAGGATGTTTAAAACTGTTTGTTAGAGGGAAAGGGAAAGCCCGCCCTCCAAGGCAAGGTCACACTTCAGCCCCGTCCATGCTGTCTGGACCTGCGATGTGTGGACATGTGGTTTTCAAGCCACCAGGGCTGACACCACAGCTCCCTCGAACGCCGGGCTGCAGGTTGGGGTTCCCTTTCCATGGGCTCACCAGGAGCTAGTCCTTCAGGAGGACCCCATCCCGGTGATCTTAATCCCCCTCTCCAGAGGTCCCACCCTTCAAAACCCTAATGGGACTGTTCTCACCCTCAGCGTCCAGTCACTAGCAAACCTCAACACGTGGGTTTGGGCCATTTGAACCATAGCAGTCAGCGCGGGGTTGACAGGTCGATGCTGTGAACTGAGGTGCGTTCAGATCCATGCGGCCGCCCTGCATGGCACCTCTGGTGTCCCAGCTCTGGGCGC